GGCCCTTCTGTGCTGTCCGTTTTCACTATTTGCATGCATAAAATATATGCTTATTTGCATTGACAACACATTTGGTGTTTTTATTAACTGACGAGAACATAATGTTATACTTTCTGACACTAATCACTGGATTTCCTCCCAAAAATATCCTATCAAGATAATTTAGCCAGAAGTAATTCTCCGAACGAGTACATATTTGCACAACTCTTATCCCTTTAGCAACCCAAGTTAATTTATAAATATAGTGTTAACTTTTGTGAAAGTTCACAACCGCCCCTTTCTATACGACTAACGATAAAATAAGGACAGCATTGCACGTTAGCACTTCCACAGGACAGTTGAAATGCCTCTCTCTAGTCTGTTAATTGAACGAGGAAGAGTATGCAAATATCGAAATAACTAAACTACGGAGGAGCACGCGGGGGGGGGTTGTCCAACGTACAACAGAGACATGGCAATCGAGTCCTAGGCAATAGTTCTAGCTCACCCAAAAACCCGACAACTGCTTCATATTTCCGTGTCGACTAATAATTTACAAAATGGAATACACTTCTGAACCAAATGTAGATTCACTGGTGCGCCAGCCAATAACTCAACGTATTGTTACCCAGTCCTGTGGCCCCTTCGTTATGTGGCCTTTGCGACGACTCTGACTTCTGCGACATCCGGTACCGAGCGTGGCATGCGATTGGGCGGCAGCTTAGTACCACTGCACCCAATCGCATTCCCATTTGACCCGATTCGGTCAAGCTACTGGTGCGTTGAAAAGATAAGGTTGCGTGCAGTCGATTCAACTCGAATCTACCGTTTAGTTTCTCACTATAAACAACCAAATGCACTTTGCTCTAACACGACGCAGTAAGAATCGTACTTCGAAAGATCACTAACTGACCGGATAACTCGGTCCCATAATAATTCCTTCTTAATGTGCCATTCTCAGCATTCCAATCTTCGTGAAATCTGAGGCCCGCTGGATGAAAAATAATGCATCTGAAGTTGGGGACCAGACCCTGTGTAGTACGTGCTGAAGGGCTTTTAATCGCTCTCAGCCCAAGTCCATGCGCGGTCTTGGGTCTAATTTAACATCAAGACGCCCTGACATTGGCGCACGTTAATTCACGAGTTCACACACTTTAAGGGGCAATGATGAGTTACACCCGGTTTCTAGTGATCAACTGATCCGGATAGGCAGATGGTTTTCCATTAAAGTCGGTCATTTTCTCGTAACGAAGGAAGTCACTAGCCTATGCAGAGGATGAAATCGGATTACTTGTTAACGAAGTCCCTTTAATAATCAATTTGCCAGTAGGCAAGCTCTACTACCCCCTTGCCGCAGATTGGATGAGACCAAAACACGTGGGTATAGAACTGAATATACCACACAGGTAATCATTGGAGGCACTGACTACAAATGGAACGTTGACCATAGACCTATCGCGAGGTGTTAAGTCTAAGAAGGTTAACCCTGACAGCTACGATCTTCCAGGCCCATGGTTCCTTTTGGTGAGGA